AATCCTCTTTACCAGAATCATCCGCAAACGAATGTCTATGCCAAGACTGTGAATGGTCTTCCACCGCCTCCGTCGTCGGCTATGGCGAGTGCTCAGGGTGTCGCAACCGTGGGAGCGACGAGTTTCTCTATGAACTCTAATATGGTCCGTGGAGGAATCGTCTCGAGCAATCCGATGGCCATGCCGCATCATCCATCGGGAACCAGTCTCACCAATTTCAATCTAAGCACAATATTTCCTGAAATGAATGACAAGGTATCTGATCACGTTCTACAATAAATATTGTTGATAGAGTTTGTTCGATTTTCGTGTATTAACATAGAACTTTGTTGCCTTTCTTTCAGGTCACCGGATACAAATCCTCGAACGGTATACAACCCGGCCTATCGCAGACGTCCAATCAGTCTGCGACTTATGCGCAACGAAGTAATTATCCGTCGAACTCTCTGTGCCACTTGCCGCAGGTGTGTTTATAAACGTGTTTACGTAATACCAAATCCAATTACATGAGCCTAGGAATAGCGTGTATATATATTGTTTACAGGTTTCGGAAGGCACGCAATTCATTAATAGCGTACCACCACTTCCTGTACCTCCTGCTCCTCCTCCTGCTACCCCATCTCTTTCACACGGAGTAATCCATTATAAAAATCTATGAAGACGTTTCATAGTTTGTGATACAATCGATCATCGCTTGTATATATGTAAATATCATGTATCATTCATTAAATTAAAAAACGTTGATACAAAAGATGTTTGATTTATGTTGATGCGTTGATTAAATGTCGAATAATATAAAACAATGATCTGTTAAGTTATATGAGCTTAGTAATGACTTTATTTCATTGTATTAAAAAGAATCGTACATCGAATTGAGTTTTTGAATAAAATCCCTTTTGCCCACATCATTCACATTCAGGCATATAATTCACATCGGTGACTCTTTAATTGTTGAATTAACAAAGTTATTAATATCGAAATTAATAAGTCTTTAATTAGTTTTATAACTATAATTTCTATTAAAAACTTATTTAGGCATATTAGCCATATAAAGATTTAGATATTTACAGCAGAAATAGTACTTTTATCACAGTATACATTTAATACATGTCATTATAAGTTCATAGATGGTATAACCAAGTCATCTTATATCTTTAGTAGGAGGTTTGAGTGGTATTTTGCCGATGATAAATTTTTCAGCCAAGAACATATTCTTCTCATCATCCGTTAGTGCACCATCCACACTATAAACGCTATCGTCAATGATGTTAGTTATAGCGGTGTTAAATGGTGATTTTCCAAAAGGAGGAACATTGATGTTTAATTGATTTTGCGCAACGTTTCCGAACGGTGAAGCGCCTTGTTGTGGCCGTGGTGCAAATGGATTTGCGGGTGTAGTTGTTGTAACAGTTGTACTAGCAGGTGAACCGAACGGAGAGGAAGTATTGATACTGCCGAATGTCGATGCGGAGAACGGTGATGGATTTGGAATGGTTCCGTTGGAGGTTGCGAAGGTAGTTCCCGCATTCACAAATAACGAATTGGAAGAGGTTTCTGTGGTACCGAATGTATTATTTGTACTCGCAACGGCCACGCCGAATCCTGTTCCCGCAAATGGCGCCGAGCTCGTGTTTGTAGAATCAAATTGTTGCGAGCTAGTGGTGACGAACGGGCCGCTGATCGCGGCAGACGGCGCACCGAACGGTGTGTTGCTTGCCGACATGGTGTCGGTATTCTGTGCACCAAAGACATTAGGAGCGGATACAGTCGTTCCAAAGGTATTATTGCTGGGTTGTTGATTCAAATCAAAGGCTGGCGCCGTGGTAGCGACGGATGCACCAAAACCTGGTGTCGTCGCGGCAACAATAGGCGTACAAAAAGCTGGCGTAGTGGTAGCGGCAGCCGCACCAAAACCTGGCGTTGCAACAGCCGTGGATACGCCGAAGATACCGTTTGTAGGAGCGCTAAACGTTTGACCGCCGCCAAATAACGAGTTGCCAGTGGAATTATTGGCATAGTTGGTAGTTACTCCCGCGAAAACTGGCGCTCCGCCGAATGCATGCATTTGCGTTTTTGGCTGAGTGAATATTCCGCCGTTGAAGGAGCCGGATGATGACGTAGTCGAGACACCGAAAACCGGGTTTGTCTGTAATCCGGTGGACGAACCACCAAACAAATTGGAGGTGGTAGTTGTCGGTCCACCAAACAACGAAGTGCTCGCCTGCGAAGTCATCGGATTATTGAACAGCGAGGTGGTAGACGCGTTGCCAAGTTGGCCCGTCCCGCCAAATACATTGTTTTGGCCGAATACATTTTGAGGTGATCCGCCGAAAATCGGATTCGTCTGTTGCGTTCCAAATGCTGATGTGCTGTTCTGTACACCGCTGAATGCTGTCGACGTGCTCGTTGTTCCAAAAATGGAGCCAGCACCACTCGTCGTAGCACCAAATCCGCCGAGATTATTTCCGAAGGTCGCCGTATTGCCAAATGCTGTATTATTATTGGACTTTCCAAATATCGACGATGTATTGCTCGAGGAGACGAATCCACCAAATGGATTATTATTCTGCACGTTGTATGTTGTATTTCCGAACACGTTATTAGTCGACGTGTTATTAACTAAGCTCAGCTGAGAAGCTGCAAAGAAAATAATTTCTTCAGAAAATATGAAATATTTCCGAAATATATATATTTCATTACAAGATTTAAAATATTTCAGAATTTTTCATGAAACATTTCTGAAATATAAATATCAAGAAAATATATTAAAGTTTTTAAAATATTTTTCTTCTTATAATATTTGTACATTTCTAAAACATTATGAAATATTTTAATATGTAATATTTTAAAACGTTTTACAAATATTGACGAAACATTTCTGAAATATTTTATTGAAATAAAAAAAAATGATTTACATAAATATAGCCATACATGCTGTATGGCTATATGCATCTGACTTACCTTTTTGGCCACTTCCTAAAATTTTTTTCTGGAACACAATCATATCATTCATAAATATATTTGAGAGGCTTTAATCGATTAATCAAAATAATTACATGGAGAAACCCATGTCACTTGACATACCAGCAACGTCATTGTTTCCCGTGTAGGATTTTTCAACACCTCCCTTTTCGCCTTCATGTCTTGACACAATTGTTGAAAGTGTAGTTTCTAAAAACAATATGCAAAAATAGTCTATTATTTGATATATCAATAGACTCTCATGATTTATCTGGGCAACAGAAAAATTTTTCTTTCAGAGATCCTTTATCTTATAGCTCCGTATTGCTCAGACAACTCAACATAAACTTACTAACCGCTTGTTCAACTATGCCATTTTTCTGTGCATTATATATCTCCCATCGAACTTCCTCTGGAGATAAGTCCTCCATCCCTGGGATACAGGGGCGTTCTTTGAGTGGGGCAAAGCAAGACAGCAACCACTGGCCGCCTCTCTCAGCAAGAAGTACTTCCTTCGCCACCAGAATACTGATGTATATAAATGTAAAAAAGAAAAAAAGATCGATCTTAACTTAAGTATATAGACTTGTAAACATAAATAGGAACTCATAATATACATATACAAATTTATGCGAATACTTACATGATATCATCCTCGGTTTTAGTATTGCCCGCTTGGAAAGTCAAACAATGATATGTTACTTGCCAGTTGAATAGTGAAAATGTATATGTTAATGCATGTCTTACCGAAATGATTTATGTGTTCGAATTGACAATATTGACCGTAACGGCAATTGCCTTGTCGATAATATTTGCAAATAACCATTGTATACACCACAGAAACGCAGAAACAAGGGGAGTACTTTATTCCCGCGTTCCTTCGTGAACGTCGTTCCTCCTAGAACGTACACGACTCCGACCCTTCACCTCCCCCTTTTTATAAAATACAAATTCTAGTTTCGTTTCAAAAAATCATTTTCTTGTGCAGTAATTTTTGGTACGTATAGTTTTGTAACTTACGTTATTATTGTTTTCTTTCGCTCTCCTCCATTCACGTGTACGAAGAAACATTTGTAGCTCCATCGTAATTTTTGGGGAATCTCATAACAAAGTGCATGTTGGACTTTGTCGATAAAGTAGTTCGATTTCGATAGTCGGCAATCTGTTCAATATTATAACATAAATTAAAGAGATAATGTTATATCTTGTCGACGTTTTATTGAGAATTAAATAAAAAATATGTATTAAATTTTTTTCTTTTTTAAATAATAAACACATTGAAAATTTATTCGATGAATCAGCAGATAAATTATTCGCAAAGATATGAATCGTACATTATATCTTTTTCTCTTAATTTTAATTCTTTACAACCAAAAAAAGATAAAAAAATAAGTTAATTCACATACACATGTGTGCGTGCGCGTTACTTTTGAGAACATTAAGACTTCATCGAAACGTTGGTAACAAGTCATAGATCAGGACAGTCAATACATTGTTGATTGAATGAATTGTTATAATGTCGATTTTTTTGTTTAAATTTTATTTAATTTACTAAAAATTCGCAGAACTTTTTCTCCAGCTCAATATGTATATATAATATCCATTTTTTCTATCTCTATCAAAATTATCTTCCTTTATTGTTTATTTCTATCAATATATAGATAAATTTTAATCTCTTATATAATCCATTTCTACTATAGATATATAGATTACGCCTTTAATCTCGGTACAATTTATTGCTTTTTATTTTTTTCTAATTCTAAAGAATTATATGTTACTAAAGAGTAAATTAAACTAAAATTTTAAGCCAAGAAGAAATAAAAGTCAATTAGACGTCAATTCAATTTTCATTTTTTTCTGGAAAAGAGCTACAGTGATAGAAAGGATGTAAGAAATGAAATTAATATAGATATTTATAATATGTTCCTAATTCAATGATTTTCGACTGAATTTCACCTGCATGCATTACACGCTCGCTAAATACGCTCCGGGTTGTTCATAATTATAATAAACGAAAGATTACTAAAATATTTATTCTTTTTGCATATTAAAATACAGGAGAAAATGTCTTATTTAAAAATACATGAATAAGAATAAATGATCAAGCAAGTATACATCCTTTAGAGATTAACCCTTCTTCTTTGTCTTATTTTCGTTCTTAATGTTTGAGGAATCACAATTTTGACAAGAACAAGAACGCGGTATTGCCATTTGTTTCTTCAATCTTTTGCCGTCTTCGCATTTCAAATTGGCAATGATACCCATGTATTCCTTCACTTGACAACATTGACAATCATTTACTTGAGTCCAGTTTTCTACATAAGAAAAGACAAACAAGATAAAAATCAAGCTGACCATTGTAATAAAATACAACAGAAAGAATTTAATTTGATTTTGCATTATTACCACTGTCAAAGAATGTTGAAGAGTGGCATGATCCATTGCATTGTTTAATACCCTCAATAGCATCCACGTTTTTACATTTTCCATGAAATGAATGATTTATACTCAGCATACCTACAGTACTGTTTGCATCTATGAAAACTGCTTCACATGTTTCTAAAAAATAATTATTAATGAAGAATATTAATTAATCTTTATCATAATAATTAAAAATACAGCATTATTTTTCAAATAAACCAAAGAATACTTGTTTTTATTTTTCTTTTTTACCTTTAATCTGATCTTTTATATTAATGCTCATATTACATCGTCTACAGCATTGATCTTGATAAATCGATTCATCAGGGCAATTTGTTACATCTGGACAAGCAACTGGACTCACAGCAAGAGATAGCTAAAAATCAATGTGCAGTTATACAATATAAAACAATTTCAAAATTAATAAATAATAATATATATAATTAATTGTAAATAGTTCGACTTTCCGAAAAGATACTAGTTGCATCTGATCCAGAAATGTTTACTCTTCTTGAGAGATAACTTGCCTGTTCGTTAATTTCCATGCACATATAAATAGTACAATTATCATCGGACGACCATGTCATGCTAGGCGCATACAGAGTATCTTCGAGCACACAAAACGCTTGCTTGCATTCTCCGCAACATTTACCATCTTCTGGTTCTTGATATGACCATCCCTTAAAGATTTTATCAACACGATATTAATTAAATATTTTGAATATATAAAAACACTTAAATGTAAGTGCGTATAATAAAATGTTCTTACTTGAGAACACTGTTTTGAACACACTTCAACCTCTTTACGCTTTGTTATATTCGGACCATCCACACATGTCTCAATGACACAGCTATCTGTGAGAGATTTCCAAGTTTCTCCAGGTTTATACAATTTTCCATCATTACGACAAGCTGTTTTAACAATTTCCGGACAACATCTTCCTGGAATTTTGCGTGCTTCTATTTCGAACTCGGATTTCATTTGCGGATCGATTTCTGGGCAAGTTTCAGTACTCGCTTCTAGGTATACCTAAAATGTGAATAATATAACTAAACGAATTCATAATTTTATCAATTAGTAAATATTTGGATTATATTAATAATCTTACACTTCCATTTATTGATTTGCAAAGATACATTGTACAATGATCGTCAGAGTACCATTGTTCTCCTACATTTTTAAGCATGCCTTCTACAATGCACGCAACTTGGATACATGTACCACAGCAATTAACGCTGGTATCTTTAGGCACTTGATATTTGTATCCATAGTCACACATGGTATCACATTCTTGAAATTTATTCAATATCTGTATACCACCTGTTACTGAATCTTTGTTACATTGCATCATGAGACAAGCATCTTCAATATTGGGCTTCCAACTTTCGCCAATCTATGATAATAATTAGCAGTATAAATTGTATTTTTATAATAATGTTAAAATGATAATGTACGTTGTTATAATAATGTTAAAATGATAACACAATTAGAGAATTATTCTTACATTGTATATATTGCCTTTCCATTTGCAAGCAGTACGCTCAAAGATTGGACAGCATTTATCATCCAATAATATTTCTTCAAGTACATAATCGTTTACATCAGGATGTGCGCTCATACTTGAACATTCCGTAAATAAACAATTTGTTTTAGGACCATCATCCGAATTCTCGCACACGCACGTTTTGCATTTACCGTCCTTCCATTCTTCACCAATTTTTTTCGCTACTTGTTGTTTGCCTTGTTCTTCATTATTTGTATAAAGGCAAACATCCTTTGGCGGCACTAATGCAAATAAGAAATAATACAATTGAATCAATATTTTCATTTTGTAGAATTTATATCTTTTTTACAAATATGCGTTGTTAAAAATATTGTTAAATATATTTCCTAAAAAAAATTTATATGTCAGTTTAAATATAAAAAGTACACAATAAAATAAAATCACAGGACTCCTGTAATCTTAAAAAAATAATAAAGTAAAATGACGAAGATACGATCTTAATAATATAGTATATATGATCGCATTTTTAAATTTGACGTATTAAATTGTAATTATTTTTGAAAAAAATTGTATTGCGCTCCAATTATCACGCTGACTCCTTATGGTTCTTTTTTTATACAAATGTTTATGTCAATTTAAGTTACGTTATAAATACTATAATATTCTTCCATTTTCCAACGCACATATACACATAATACATTTGACAATTATATAAAAAATCATAAAAAAAACTTTACCACATTCGTAAGTGGGACAACAACTGTCTACAAGCATCGTTGTAATAACATTATAATAATCCGGACAGTTTGGTGCAGAAGGACAGATTCTCGGATCACATATTTTACTTGGTCGCGGGCAGCAACCAGATATATTCATTATATGTATAAAACCAGGCTGTAATTGCTCTATTTCATTTGTAAAATTATCGAAAATGGGACATTCGCTTACAGGCAAGCATTCTGAAATTACATGTAATATTATGTAACTTGCAAGGATATGACAAATAATTATAAGAGATGCATACAAACATGTTATACATACGACATATAAATTTGTGACAACCATCAGTATCGGTAATCACTTTCATTGTCTGGCCAAAGCCACATTCTGGCTCCTGTGACTCAATACATATTGTAGGCGCTGTCGGCTTTGGAGCTACAGAGACGCGTTATTATAAATGGATACAATATATTCCTATTCATAGTAAAATATATTCCTATTCATTGAGAAATTGCAGCATTAAACAATTTCTCTCATACACGCACACAAGTATATAATCATATTCTCTAATTTTATTATTCTAATTAATCATTTAATTGATACAATAATAAATCATCTAATTAATCATTTAATTAATCATTAATTCATTTATAAAATAAATTTCACTAAAGCACGCAATTTTGATAAATATACATTAGAAATGTATTTTTGGATAATATTTATGTTAACTCACCACACAAATATTTGGCGCAACATCTTTCCTCGGTTCCATTGATAAGGACAGGTGTCATATTTTCTTCACAGATCGTATCCAACACAGGACATTCCATCGTTTGACAATTTACAACTCCATCATTACAATTGCATTCGGTGCATTTGTCCGGGTGCCAGATATCTCCCTGCACGTGACCATCTTTATCACAAACGAAACAATTCTTTTTCGGTATACAGGAATCATTATGGAACACATGATCGACTGGACAAAAACATCCTTCGATTAGATCAGACGCGCACTTAGAATTGTCTGAACCATTTATGGTATCACACGTTTCTTTACAGCTGGATTCACATGCCTGGTAGACAAGATCTGTGAACGATAAATATATTTATTTAAAAAGAATAAAATTTTTTTACAATTTGTTCCAAATATATACATACAATTTTAATCAATAAAAATTATTTTCTAAATTAAATATAAAATCTGGAGATATAATAACGTGAAACATTTTTTGTATAAAATTTCGATTTCAATTTTATTTACAAATACAATTTTTGTATTCAAATTCAATTAAGATATTAGACAACAACTCACCTTTGGGACACGTGTAAGGACAGATTTCGTTAGATCTCCAATCTAAACATAGACTAGCTTCCGAACATTTCCTCGCGTACATCTCTAAGCTGTCGCAATAATTTCTGTCAGTGCATAACGCATCGTGACAACAATCTAAATATGGTTTTGGATCAACAATGCTATGACATTGCTTGAAGGTTGCTAAATCTAGTAGAAATTTCTTGCAGAGATCTTCCTCTGGTGGAGGTGTACATTCAATTTGATTACTGGAACATGTTTGATCGCTCCAACCTAACTGCGTCAACAGATCTTTGCCAACCAACCAGGATTTGCCAAACTCCTCGACGTCATTGGTAATCTCTCCATCACGTTTCTCGAAACCATTTTCGGCATCGGCGTTGCAACTACCGCATAAACCCTCCGTATCATCGCTGAAGATATGTGAAGGTAGTTTCAAGGTAAATGCGAAGTTCTGTTGGAAGATGACAAGTTCTAATTGGAAGGACGGTATGAGCAAAGTTACATCTCCAGTCGACATTCGATTTAAAACAATCCATGTGAGGTTGTGCGGAAAGTTTTCCACCTGGGAATCGTTGATTACCACCCGTAGATCCTTTGAACGTTCTGCTCGTTTGATTTGTACTATGTGCTTCTCGTAGAGTAGGGTAATAGCTTCTGTACATGTACCGGTATCACAATATCCATTGGTGATCAAGATTTGATATACACGAGCCTCTTCCCGACTCTTCGCGTTCTCCACGATATTCCCCGAAAGTAGATAAGTACAATTACCGGCGAACATAAAACCCTGGCGATTGAAATCGATGAACTTGGCATCGCCAAGGCCATCGCACACGCAATCCCGACATTGCGCTGGCGGCACACATTCGTCATTTCGACGCACCAGTCCATCCGGGCAGAAGCAGCCGGGGAAACAAACACCTCGCATTGGCGGACACGGTTCCACTTCGTGTAAATTATCGCAGGTGATTTCGCACTTGCTGCGGAAGCAATCCCGATGGACAAACGGTGATGGGCAACTCACAGGACAATCATAAGCGGTTCTCCAATCCGATAACGGATCAGCGCCAGGACCGATGATAGCTTCGCATTCGCCAACGAAGCTCGTCAGCAAACGACACCGACAGTCTTCGTAAGAACTATTAGAAGTTTGCAAACAAGAGCACATGCTCTCCACGCAGCCAGACACAAATCTGCGATAAAGAAATGATAGTCATTTATTATTTTACCGATTTTGCAAGAATATATATTAAAAAAAATATGTATATATAATCTACACAAAAATTCATTTAGCTTGGATAAAATTTTATTTAAAAATTTCAATTTTGTTACAACAAATTTTACAAATTGTGCACTCCAATTTAATCGTTTAAATTAGTAAATTTTTATTATATTGAATGTTTATTAAATAACTACCTGTCGACGTCGACAACTGCAGAACACGCGTCTAGTAGGATTGGACTTTTCACGGAATTACAGATGGTCCAAGCCCGCTCCTGAACGTCATGTGGACACACATGTACATCGCATTCCGTGTTTTCCATCGCCCAGCTGTCCCCAAACTGAACTGTGCTTCTCGCTTGTGTACCTTCAGGTGTCTGGCGATCATTCGTGATATCACCGTCGAAGTATCCGCACAAGCCATCTACGCGATCTGCCAGTTTCGTGGTGATGCCGATCTTCACGTTGGTGCCCGAGTCCCAGATCACCCAGAAACCATAGCGATGTGAGACAAAGATGATCTTGTCGCCTGTGCGTGAAAGCTTAAAACCAGGTAATCGATTTCCGAGTCGTGCTATTTGCTCGGCTGTGAAAGTATATTCGTCAATGTCTGCGTGTAAATCTGAATAAAGCACGATTGCGCGTTCATTCAGCATCACCGCCAAAACCCGTGTGCAAGATTGCTGTCCACGCGAGTCGGTGCACTGCTTCTCCAACGTGATATACCATTCATTACCATACATGTCTCGAGCTAAAATGTGATTGCAGATATCGTACTTGTATTCCATATTATCGAACGTGTTGAATGTTCGACCTGTAACGTTGCAAATTACCTCCTGTGGTGGCAATGGTCGGCAAGCGTATTTGGGACATTTGTGCATCTTGTACATGCTCATCTTCTCATATATTACTTCATACTGCGGTGGACAAAACACCTCTGGACACTTTTCAGGCTTTTCCCCGTTAGGATAGACAGGAGGTCGGATAGTGGGCACACAAATAAACTCAGGGCATTGAATATTTTCCGTTGCTAATTGATCCTTCATTGGATGATCATGAATCGGATGACGATATGGATGCTTTTTGTACTCCTTCATCTTTGTAAAACTTTTGTGACCTTTGGATTTTACATTCGTCTTAACATTATGATGTGGTTTATCGTGTAGTTGAGATGCCTGCTTGAAAACTACTCTGTAACCGGGTGGACAAATCGGTTTCTCGCATGGCAATGGAGGGGGACTGATAGTCGTGACTTCTTGTTTGATTGTTGTCGAAGATTCGATCACGATAGGTGTCGTAGAAATTATCTTTGGACAATCCATCTCATCATCCGGACAATCCTGAACACCGTTGCACCATGCAGTTTCGTTTATACACACGTCACTCGTAGGACAGTGCCTGGTGCCTGCTGGGCAAGGTTTGCAGAGACAGGCGCATAATTCACCGACAACAGATCGCAGGCCCGGTTCCAAGCAAGGCTCGCACTTCTTCGGCAAGCAAGCTGCTGTTCCGCTGAAAGAGCACACGCACTGCTGGCAATCGTCCGTCTCGTACATGCTACCTACCTGTAATAAACATCTATTATTGTAATTGTCGCATCCTATTCTTAGGAAGTTTGCTTTAGGACTTTAATAAGCGCATTATTGTTATCACTACTATTATTATTACCGCATAAGGTACGTGTCCAACCACGCAAGGACATTCTCGTTTTGGTACGCACGACTCTCCATCCCACCAGTAAGGATCTTCGCATTTGCAACCTTCGTCGTTCGACGTTTGATCAATTCCGTCGCACACGTTGCATTCTTGATTAAACAACGTCGTCGATTTGGTTGTTGATGTCGTTGATGACACAGGATACATTAGATAACAGCCTAGGATTTCGACTTTCAACGCAATATGATCGTGCCATTTGACGGGTTGTATCTTTAGGAACTTCGCGTGTAATGGTCTCTCGAAGAAATTCGTCCGCTGGCTTTCCGTATCAAAATTGCCGAGAAACACCTTCTCATCGCCGTTCTCATCGACGACTGGATTCCAATAACGTCCGTCATTGCTATAAAATATTTTGTAAGCAGTTGTCCAAGCGCCACCGCCGCCTTTGGTTGTGATTCCGGTCAGATTTCGAGCTTCTAGGAAGTTGAACTGAACGTATTGATGAGGATTGTCCAAAGCGGCACGCCACGCACTTTCCGTGGACAACCGAAGATATTGAACCAGCTGCGGCGAGCTCGACACTGAAATTTGTTGCATGGTCATCAGCCCGTTATCCAATCCCATTGAATCCTCGCAAATCGGTATCACGACCTTTTCGGAAGTTGTTGTTTTCGTTGTCGTTGACGTTATATGATCCTGACAACCCAGCACTTCCATCTTAATTCCGATTCCATTGTGCCATGTCAGAGGATTGATACGAATGATCTTCGCTTCAATTGGTTGATAGAATATTTGCTTCACAGACTGGATTTTATCGATGGGTCCTCTGAATACGCGTGGCTGTTTCTCATGATCGAGTACATATGAGAAGGTTTGGCCGTCCTCCGAAAAGAGCACCTTGTAACTAGTTACGAATTTATCTTCAGAAACGCCTCCTTGCAGAATCACTCCATAAATTGGTTCAGGTTTATTAAACTCGATATTAAGCCATTGATCCGTGTTCAACATCTCAGGTTCCCAGAATTTCTTGGGTAGCAACATTGTTCCTTCTGTATACACTAACAAATCCTCGGATCGTAAAACAGAATTCCTATTGCCGCTAGAACGAATAATCACTTCTTCCCGCAGATTTTGTATCAGCGGTACGTAATTGGCATCACTGCATTCTCCAGGCGGAGTGACCGTGCTATGTAAAAGGATCGTTTGCTCACTGACGGATGACCCGATAACTGGTAATGTTTCCCAAGTACTTCTCAAGGTCGTACTGAGTGGTGGTTGTACGGTTGTTTCCGGTCCTCTTCCAGTTCCTGCTGTCACTTCATGACCCGAGATATTGCATAAAGTTGTATCGCAAGTGTAATAATTATTGATACATTGACAGGTCTCGCAGTCAGATTCTTTTTTTATGGCACCGGGCGCAACTGAGCCTCCATCATGAGACTTACAAGAACAGTGATTCGCCTCCACGCAGGTAATACCGTCTCTCCAAAACTTGTGCGAAGGACACGTTGGTCGGTCGATCGAGATGCATCCGGAAATGCAATCAGTACCTTCGTTGCAGAGACCCTGCGTCATTAGAATGTGACGATAGTACTGACACACCCTAGCACACTGGATTGCGCAATCACTCCACGTCTCGTCTTCCTTGCATACCTTCATGGTTGATACTATCTTTTTCACTGTGGTCGACAGTATGTTATTGTAATGACTGGTACTATTGCTGCTCCATTCAGTTCTGCCACTGGCTTGCGTAGTTCCTCCGGACTCAACTGAACATTCTGGTCGCGTGCGTAGAACTTCTGTCGGCCAATCGCACACATGAGTCTCCGAATTGTAAAGAGTACCGGGACTACACAATCTTTCCATCAATTCGTATCCCGTCAATGTAGGAACGCACTGATAAAACAGCTGACAATTTGTCGGATGTGGTGAACTGGGCTGCGCGATGTCACATTTTTCCCCGATCCCCGTACTAATCTCCGTTGTCGTTTTTTCAACACCGTGCGTAGTTGGTTCAGAGCAACGGCATAATACGCTAATTTCGAAATCCACGCAAGGAAGATCCGGATGCGATTGGCAATACAAACCACGCTCCAAACTGCACTCCACATCCAGACCGGTCTCCTTTGGACTTAAATGTTCTTTAACAGATCTACATTTTATGTCAACTATGTGCTCCCTGTTGCAAACTGCAAGTCCATTTGCAGTAGCAAGATCCATCGACTTGGGCAAGGGCTCGACGTCCAAGAACTTCTTCCCTTTCGCTGGATCCTCGTTGATCCATTTGGTCCAGCCATCTATGCATTTCTGAGGCTCTATCAAGGGCACAGCAGTAGTACCAGCGGTAGTCATGCTGGTGCAGGCTTCTCCTTTGCAGATCACCTTACCACGACTGCAAAAGCAGCTGTGGCAATCGTCGCCACTGACTCTATCACCCTCATAATATGTCATCCCATCAAACTCAATACAGAAAGGTTTTGGGCACGTCGATTTGGGTATACATTCCGTGTAACTGGCGTTTCGATACACTTGGCCTTCGGGACAAGACTGAAACTGGCAGCCCTCCACGCATGTATCTTCCGCACATAGATGCGAGCCATCTCTCACGATCATAGAATTATCGCACGTTTCACGCGGACAGGTCGAAACACAAGGTGAATATGTGCTACATTTTTCGTCGCACTGCAACGGGCAGAGTTCTTGCGTTCGCCATTTCACCGGGACACCTCGTATATTGCATTCGTGCGCGTACGCAGCTAACGCCGTGCACAGGCACTCACAGTCGCCGCCGGCGTCGCAGCTACATGTATCGAAAATGCAGTTGCGCAGATATGGCTCGACCTCCACTTCTGAATGACACGGTGAGAACAATGGTGACTTCAGCACGTTGCACTGTCGTAGCGACCATAGCTTACGTTCAGGATGTTGTTCGCAGACATCTTGCACATCTTTCGGTTCAGGACAGAACGTATCCTTTTTCCACGAGTCCCCAAACAAATTGACGGAAGCTTCAGATATCCCACCAGATGGTGTTTTAAAATCATCCTCGGCGTTATTGTTGTAATCGCCACATAGACCCATCGTGCGACCCTTCCATTCCGGATTTAATCTTATGTAAACTCTGGTACCTAATCAAGAATAATCAATAACTCTTTTCAATAATTCAACTAAAATATATTTGATTATATATATTTGAAATATGTACGTAGTTTTTACCTTTATCCCATTGCAACACCAATCCTAAATCTGGCACATCAACAAATACGAAGAGACCAACGGACCTTATCGATAATCTCTTAAAAGATCCCTTAGGTAATTCCTTTCCTTTTGTCAAAATTAACTCTTCCTGTTGTTCACCACTGCCAATCGTAAGCTTGATCGATTTCGAGCATGCAACTCCGTTTGTACCGCAGGGTACGTTCTGAATGGAAACATCAAAACAATCTTCCTTATTCAAAGTACTCTTCACCAAGACATAATCACATACACCTTGGAAATCATATGTTTTACCATCAAATGTTTTATAATGCGAATCACCCCATACAGAACAGATTCCTGTAAAAGAATATTAGCAATATTCAGCGTAATAATGTGATGTAATAAAAATATAATAAATTAAACTCTTTTTGAGATGACATTTACCAACAAAAATCACAAACAAAATAAAGAAATAATAGAAATAGTTAATAGTAAATTAACAAAGAAGAAAAAATCACCTGCGCAAATTCTATCCGTGCATTTCCATTTGGTGCCCTCGCACGTGCAAGTATTACACTCGGCTTGTATAACTGAGCCTTGTTTGTAGCTCTTTCCGCCATGATGACAGGGACAGTCCTCTTCTTTGATGCAGACACCATTTGATGTATCTAAAACATATCCGGATTTGCAGACACAACCAGATGTGCACACCGACGGTGTCTGTTCGCTCTGTATGTGCATGTTGCTGCAAGTTCTCTGCTCCACCGGCTCGCAATCTGTCACCTCCAGATGTTTGCTAGCTTGGCAAACGGAGAGTAATTCTGTGACCGGTGGATACTCCCGAATTTCGTCTGGCGTTGCTAACCGGCATTCCCATACACCGCCTGTAGAATCAGTGAAAAATATAATTTTGGATTGAAACTACCGAGAGCAGATTAGTGCTTCAGGTGCTGACCTATGCAAGAGCAAAGCTCTTGTCCCTTGTTGCCTGGACGGACTTCTCGATAATTAGGCTTGTATTCGCGACCTGCATGCACGCAGGGACATTGAGCGATTGGGACACACTCGCCATTCACGTCTAATGTTTGGTCTTCTGGACAGTTGCAACCTTCAACCAATTTATTGAACGTAATACAAAACATCTCGACAAATAAATGCAATGAATGCATTATAAGGTGTTACCTTGTGCAACTATTTCCACAGACTTGATAAGTCTGTCCGCCGCTGCAATGAATTTTACACTCGTTAATCTCGGTGCGCCATGAAAGCTTCACGCCTAGAACCGCGCAATCTTTTGCATACGCTGCTAACATAGGACAAAGACACGATTTTATATCACCATCGCACGCGCACATATCGTACATACAGTCTCGGTAAAATTCCGTTGGATCGATATGCCAATGGCAATCTAAAATAACAAGAAAATAATGAGATTATTTAAAACTCTTTAGATACTCTTTAGATATTATAAAAATGTTATAAGTACCTGAGAAAATATCACTATATATTTTGGAGCAGTGTTCTTCCGCAGTCGCTCGCCTTTCAGGATTTAACTCGCAGGGATGTTTTGGTTCATTCTCAGGCTCATCAATACAATATTCACTTGTCTTCCATTTATTGGCGAAGGCGATCGCCGCGGGTTCAATATCACCGTCAGGAGTTATAAAATCATCTTTTTGATTTTCGGTAAACGTTCCGCAAAGTCCTTTCGTTTGACCTGAATAATCGTGGTTCAATCAGAAGGTTGTTCTTTGAAGATATGATAATCAGAAAAATTAGAAAATAAGAAAGCACTCATAAAGTCTGCGCATAAAATCAATTTTGATGATCAAGTATTTAATCAAATATTTAATAACGTCCCTCTTGATGAAAAATGCAGACTAAATTAGTTTGAGAGGCAATAGATACTCTTGATGCCAGACCACCGAAGAAGAGCTACGAGCGCGTGAAAAATTCTTAAATCTGCTTGGAATCGAACCCAGGATCTCTGGCATAGCAGGCTCGTGCGCTACCTAGCTACTGTGCCATGCTCGTGTTCAAATAGAATAGACAGTTTAGATAAAATAGATCCATTAATATCACCACCCATTAATGCTGAAAAACGATAGACTTTGAAGATTCTGACTTTCTATGGGCAAGATACTCTTGGAAATTACCGACTTTTTCCGAGAGGAGACACGAGCGTAAATATTTTGTTTCCTACTGGATCGAACTCGGGACTTCTGGCATGATATACCAGTGCATTATCTCCTATGTCACGCTCGCACTCTTCTACTTATTATAATAATAAAAGTAAAACCAAAAAGTTTACCGTAAAATTCAGCCCACCACACTTCCAAAGCGTTTGGCAAATGAATCACCATGAATATGCTGCTCGCAATTCGTACTCGGGCACCATCAAAAAGCGTTGGGAACTTCGTTATCTCATCAGCATTTATCGCAATCTGACGATTCTGCTTTAATTTTATAGAGGTATTCTTGAAAGTAATTGTAACAGCCTTGACGCATGATGGGGAGCCTGCAGAAGCAAATCCCATATTCTAGAATAAATAATAATTAATTAGAAAAAATTAAGTGGGGAAATATATAATAATTAATATAATTAATAAGAGCAGAATACATTAAATTTCCTTAATAAAAGGGATTTCTCTGACCTGAGATATCGCTCCGGAACACTGAACATTTTCACTTTCGATCGTGTAATTTTCTCCTTTCATTAAATAGTATTTACACTTTCCCATAAAATCATAGTGTTTGCCATCAAATGTAGTATAATGCGGGTCGCCCAAAACGGCGCATCTAGCACCACATCGTATTTGCGTGCACACCCACTTACCGGAAGTGCATGTGCAAGTGTTGCAGCCCTTTGGCACGCTTGTGCCTGGCTGAAACAATTTGCCCCTCAACCTGCACGGGCACTCCTCTGGTGCGACACATTTCCCTTGATGCTCCAAGGTACCTGCCGGACAGAAACAGCCCTCCTCGCACTCAGAACTTCCGCTTGTTGCTTCGATACTGGAAGTACAAGACGCTTCCACCTTTGGACCACATGACATATACACTCGTCCACCGTCGCAGTTAATGGCTACAAATAATTTATTTAAAAATTAGAAAAATAAGACAATTATCTGTAAGTTTTATGTATGTTTTATATGAGTAAGTAGGTTTACAAAATATCTTTTTATTAACTCACGACAAGTATCATCGTTTCTCCACGCTGCTGATCGCGCAATTCCTTTGTGAGCGCACTGGCGGATATAAACGTCCATCGTGTCGCAAGCGCATTTTTTTCTGTCTTCATATTTGCACGCGCAATAATCCCACAAACATGCATCAGTCAGTTCAGGAAGATTAATCGTGTCAGCGCAAGCCTTAAATTTATTATTGGAGAGCAACTGGACGCACAATTGGAGCGCATCATGAGCAAACTCGTCTTTCGATTTACACGCGTGTTGAATATTTGGATAATCATCACATGTTTCTACAAAATGAAACACGTCGTGACAGATATTTCTTGTAAAATTATAGTTCAGCATTTATAAAGTACGAGTTGAAAATATAATTGTCATTACCTTCGAAACTTCCGACGCGCCAAGAACTTGCCAACGCCGGTATAGTTTGAGCGTAACTTCCACTCTTCATTAAGAATTCATCGTTCGGATCATCGTTCATAGTACCGCACAGACCAGCCGTTTTGTTCCACATACTCTCAGAAGCTTCAATCTGCAATAGCAAGGCGCCGTCCCACTTCAGTTTCACGCCCAGCGAGTCGAGAGAGACGAGGATGAAATGCGCGGACTTGTCCACGCGCAATCCAGGCAAGTATATCGGTATCGGCAACGATCGTTTGTTGTTGGAAAATATCGGCATACCTGTGTCGTCGCTAGTAAGTACGTACTTCTTGTCGTGCACGAATAATTTCACGATCTTAGAGCAATGACGATCCGATCCGGTTCTGCAACCCGGACCATTCGATGCCACGATTGTACAAACGCCGTCTTGAGTATCTCGAAGAAGCGTGTGCGAGCAATCGCTGTCAAAGCTGTAGATTCTGTCATCGAAGGTTTTGTAATGTGCGCCTCCCCAGGTGAAACATGTTTTTGGTTTCGGTCGATTTATTTCAAAAACCGTTATGCGATCATCATTAAATTGAATCTGTAATGTTTCATGCAGTATAAGTTAATCATGTCATTTTTTCACTTTGTCCATTTAGTAAACGCAGATTCTTTCCACAGTTACCATTTTAATGTTTATTATCGCTAATATAAGTGACTTGGGACAGCAGGTAACTTTTGTTAAATTCAATCATAGAATCCATACATGAGTCGCTAAAGACAATTTAAAATTTAAACTTTCTTTAAAGACTGATAGATACCACGATTAAATTTAACAAAAATACATTCTGTCCCAAGTCACTTACATTTGCGGATTTTTATTTATATTAAATAAATCGTGTTTTCGTAAATGGAATGTATTATTTACTGGATGTGAAGATGCATTGGTGTCGTAAACCCTATACTTTTCATAAATCTCTTCAGAGTGTTTCGTTTTAGTGTTATAAACATTTTCCATCGACCAGGAGTGATTCGATTCTCGTACGTAGGTGTTGTGGAATGTGCCATGTGAGATGATCTTAATGTTATTGTCAACCTTGCATTGCGGTATAGGCTGTGGTTCGAAGATTCCTTTATCGTAAGTGCAAGTGTAAATCGAAGAAGCCGGAAATTCAAATTGTATTCCTGATGGACAGTACAGCGTGCAAGAATACATATCGCCAGAATCTCTGCAGTGATATCCACCATTGAAGTGTAGTTTCTCGGCATCGCAAATATCGGCAGCTGTCATCCGTACATGTTGATTAGATACATAATTTGCAAAAAAATAAATTATAAACATATGATAGACAAACACAGAGAAAGAAAATTTATTTAATAAAATTTATTTCCAAGTGTCTATATATCTTCTGTTAAATAAAATACAACTACGAATTATAAAGATATCTCATCATTTACAGTATTGACACTGAGGACCTCGATAATCCTGTGGACATTGGCATACATTCATCGGCAGACAATTGCCACCATTTTGACAAGGTGGATCGCACACAGCTGTAGAGACATAATCACATTAATACTGTGCGTATTTAATTTTATATGGCATACAGAGATTTAATGATTATGCAGACGTACGTTCGCAATCCGGAATTGAAATCCAATCGCTTCTAGTTGGCATCCAACTCCCGTTCTTACAGATTAGATTGGCGACGGATGAACCGTCGGGAAAAGTAAAACGCTCCATACAAGATATAGTGCAAGTTCTTAAAAAATTTTTTTAAATTGAAAATTTTTTCTCATAGAGCTTATAAAAATATAATCTACAAACATTATATTTATACTCACTTCGCATTACATCTTTTATAAGAATTGAGAACGGGTGGAGAATAATTTAGACACGGTCTATCTTCAAATTGGCACTGCGGACCAGTAAAGTGTTTAGGACAGTCGCAATGATGAGGCGCAACGCATATTCCATTATTTTGACATTCCGGCATGCAGATCGCTATGAAAGATATGTGATTTAGATCGAAGATATCTTATCGTCTCTTGATCTTTTTTATAGAGTAGAAATTGAATTTAGATTCACTTTTTCTACGTACGTTCACAATGTGGTATCGAGTTCCACTCGGTTCCTCCAACATGCCATTCCTTATCGACGCAGGTAATCGTTAGTTGAAATGCGCCGTTCGGAAATTTATAGTCAGACGCACAACTTGCGGTACAACCACTATTCACAAAGAATTATTACATCTGTTATATTGTTTAACATTTTATTATAGTGCATTTTCGTTTATAAAATTAAATACCTTATAATTTTACATAAAGACTTTAATTGCAAATATCTAATACCGTAGAAATATGTGAATTAACTTATCAATTTAAATAATTTAGATATACATTAATATTGATAATATCATAATATTGATATTAATATTGATATCTTTATTTGAATTTTTCAGTGCTTCTAAATACCTGTCCAGAGAACATTTTATTTTGCCATTCACAGGCGCGCTCGGTCTACGGGTACAACCTCCTGCAAATACGCGTCTTCCTCCTTTACTACTTTTAACATTATAGGAACCTCCGATCGCTGAATCTGGCGCATCTTTTAACATATCTTCCTCCCTAATATACACAAAAAAAATTTATAAATAAAAATAGGATTTTTTAATAATTCGCACAATTTATTTCTTAAGGAAAATAAAATGTAGTTATTTTAGTGACGCATTATAAAGAAAAATTTTAGTTTCTATAATAGAAATATATATAATGTACTAACTTATTTACTTCTTGCGCGTTCATATCCTCTGAATATCCATTTCCTTGTCTTATATTGTTTGCAACAATAATCAGCGCGAATAAATGTCCAAGTATCTGCAACGACACCATGGTACCTGCACGATGTAACTTCGTGTCAGAAAAAGTTTTACATTTGTATTTTGGACAACACGTGTGAACTAAGTAACACTTGTAAAATGCGCAAATTAGAATACAGCCCTTTTATATATCTACCTCTAGAAGGAAACGGATAAGTGATAAGCTCAAATTGTATTTGATAAACGAGAGATGAAAAATATGGGTCAGTCGGTCACGAATCAGACGGTACAGACGAAATATTTATATGTAAAAATAATCACGTCCATAATGGATGTATAATATAAAGAAATGCATATTATAAAAAATATAAAACAACTATATTTATAATAAAATTTTAATTATCTTCAAAATTTCTTTTTTCCATGGATATTTTCTTTAGCTCTTCAAATCTAGTATTGTATGTAGATTTAAGGCTCTATTCAAAATAACAATAAATGTAACATGAATTAAAGTTAAAAGAAAATACATATTTATTTTCAAATAATATACCATATATAATTACTTTTATATTAATTATTAGTCGTTTAAGAGTTGCGATAGGCAAACTTCTGTGAAAATGTTTTAGAAATGATTAACTTATCGCTTTCGTTTAAACGTTAATGAGCTTCTAATTAGCTCGATAAAACGTACTGAGCATAACAAGGGAAATAGTTTTATCAACCATTTCCGATTAATAAATTACCTAGAACATAAGCCGATTAATTATGATGGACGAAGTGTTAAATGCAACTTTCAGCTTGATTTTTTTATTGGCATTCTTTTTTTTTGCTCGCGTAATATATTGAAAATGGAGTATATCAATGTTATTTTTATTAACATACTTATTTGCTACAGTTACATTATATCAGTATCATTTTATGTAATCATATATACAAACAGAGAATATCACAAATATTCATACTCTCTTGAACTTTTGTGTACACACTTTTTTGATAACTATCACAAACTAGCATTCCAATAAATAACTCATTCAGTTTTTTGTACTGTTGACGACACTTTTAGTCTTACAATTGTGCGCTGATGAATTTTCCTCTTTGTAATTCGTTAGCAAACAATTTAGCGGAACCGGTGTCTGATAATTTTGAGCAATTTTTAATTGCCCAGGTTCAGAATATCTCGAATGCCATATTTCGTAATAAGCGTCGCTGGATATATCACTCAAATGCGTGATGTTAAATTCCTCTTGTAGTGCAACTTTCCAAACCTGGAATATAAACTATGATATAAAATTACAATTATTACCATGACGTTCTTTATTGCGTCATACTTATTAAAAGAGATTTAAATTATAATTAGAGATTTATTTATATTATATGATTATATTATAACCCATTAACATCCGACAAAAATTTCTTTTAAAAATTGTTAAGAAATAAGTTGATAAACAACGTTAATTGCATTAAAACTCACATCTTCTTCACGTACTCGAACTTCAGCAGAAACATTACCAAATCGGCTTTCGCTATTTAATACATGCAATTGATATAACAAATAATTTAGCATGTGCATTTTATTGGATTCACTAACGCTGAAAGTCACGGATATCGGCGAGCAGCATTCTCCTTTTATCGGATATACAGCACGTGTGAAATAGCTGTCTGGTTTCACTACACCCCATAAAAGATTTTGTAAAGAGTAACCATGGAAAGTACCTCTTAAGTACTGATCTCTGGTATCAGACGGATGTATGCCTAAAGACGACAGATGCTTTCCTGTAAAAATAAGATAGAAAATCAATATCATAGATATAAATAATAAATCAAAATTTATCATATAATAAATTTTGATGTTATATGGCATTATGTTGTTTACCAAGATAATAATCTTCCTTCTTCCAATACTTTCCTCCTTTAATACATTTTTCCGTACTATTGAACATTTGCACTACTTTATTTAGTGCTCCTCTGCTAAGAACATATCCGGATTGAGCAACATTATAAGCCTGACCCCACAGAATTACTGAATGACCCAAATAATAGTCGTGTGTGTAATCCAGTGAAGCAACCATATAGCGCAAATTTTCTGGTATAATTATAGTATTGTCTTTCACAAATATAATCCACTGTAGTTTGTCTACTTGATGGTTCCAAATATAATTCATAGCTTCGCACAACAGTTGCCAAGAAGACACAATTTTTATATTTACATCAATAATAGGCAATTCTGTATTCTTTAAGCGATGTCCAAAGAAATATACATTATTGCAGCGTTTGCCCCAAGTAGCCTTGATTGATTTTCCAAGCTTAAGCGTTTCCACGAAAATCACACATGTGATAGACACTTGTTTTTTTAACCAGTTCCATTCTGTGAGTTTCTTTCTTTTGACACCTTTTTCTTGTCGACCATACAAGTACTCATCCAAATCAATTTGGTATAATTTCAACTTTTGTGTTGCTAACCAAGTGTGATATGTAATACTGTTAACATCTGTTGTCTCATTCACCTCTTTCCAAAACTGTAAAATAATTTCTTTGTGACGAAATTTTTTATTCAGGTAGTATTCAGGCCACAATGATGGATCTTGATCAACAATAGAATCAATCACAAATATACTTCTTAATGAAACAAATAATAATGGAAGAACAAAGCCAATCCCAAAACCTATCAGAAATACCGATTTCTGTTTTAAAAATCGTAAACGCATTTTGTGTTATTTCAATGAAAAATCGTCTAGTTCTGTCGGAACTAATGGCAGGTAATCTAACATGAAGTAGAATCTATACTATACTCGTGCCTTCAGTCATTATGTTTGACCTTCATTGCACTCACTTATCTCATTAAGATCAGATATTGCACGTATTTTTTACAGACATTGTATGTATCATTTTAAATTTCTTTGAGTCTTATTTTTTATTCTCCATATCGTTTATAAAGTTTGTTAATTTATTCACAAGACTGCAAGCATACAGCATAATTAATTTACATATCAAATATATATCTAACTTAATGATTATTTCAATTATTATCAATATAGTGAACATTACCTGTGGCATGCAATTCATATATTATGTGTCGATAAGAGCAGAATGAAATCATCATAGAATCATCGATAATATTACATTATAGATTGATATTTTATATGTCAAAGCAAGTTTATACTTAAAAACTCATAGATAATTTTTTATATTTGCAATCGCGATCAGTTTACATTTGTGATATCCAGTTATCTAAACAAGCAGGAAAAGTATTAATAAGTAAAAGCCGAGTGTGTAACATATGGCGACTTCGAAAAATAATATGACACATTCGCAGCCGTATTGAATCAACAGGTGACATAAACAAGACATCTGTTGGCTTAACATCCTAACCTAAACTTAATATAACCTAGCCTAATCTGACATAAATCAGCTGATGGTCTGTGATTTTAAATTCACAAAATATATAAGACAAATCTATGAATGAACTTTCGTATAGAGAAGCAATTCTTTTTGTAACGTGTAATATAATAATAAAAATAATATATTGTAACAGTGGGAAAATTTATGAAAAGATCTTTATGGATAGAACTCCAAAATCTTGGTTGCTCAATATTATATGGTTGTTACTTATGACATTTTCTAAATTACAAAGTTGCTAAATATTCAACATTTCTCATTTATTGTTAACTCAGAAATAGACATAGAGCATTGTACACATATACAAGTACATTGCATAATTCTACAATAAGAAATGACAATAAATGCTTTATTTCTAAATCTTTCCGCACATACTAGTAATTTAAGTACCAAGAGTAATATAAGTCTTTAATGTGAAATATTTTAAAATTTTATTATAAATTGAATAAATTTGATAAACTTTCTTACTTTTTTGTATGAAATAATGTAGCACAGTGTAAGTATATAACAAGAAATATGTGTGTGTGTGTGTGTGTGTATATATATATATATATATTTTCTTTCAGCGATGAAATTTTTCTGAGTTGCAACTAAAAAATAAATTTTATTTTTATTTGCATTTAAATTGACTTTACTTTTTTCATAATATTAAATTGATATATATATATATATATATTTATCGTAGAAGATTATGTTGCAATATATTAAATCTATAATAATACTGTACAAAAAATTAAAACTGTGATATAGTAGAAAAAAAATTCTAAAGGATGAAAAGTATCAAGCTCAAAGAAATACCTTGCAACGTTTGCAATTCTATGAGATCAGCGAAATTAGAAACTGATTTTGCCACGCACTTTAAAGAAACCTAAGCCGTTTCTATTGTGCACTAAGGCACCAAGACTGCAATAATTCTCTACAATGATCGGCATATTAACAACGTTGCTTTCACGAGGTAGTAAACTTTTGAGCGTAGTATTGAAGGCTTCTATGTCGAATCTCGTTTTAACGATCTCGGTTCCATCTAAAATGATATCTTGTTAGTGACACAATTTTTATTAGTAACAGAACACATGATAAAGCATCTTTATACAGCAATGTCACTTATAATCTCTTTATTTATATTGAATTTTAACATTTACCTTTGTACCAGAACAATGGATGACTAGCATATGTAAGCCACGGTATATTCCTTGCAAATGGATTCCACTTTTTTATAAGAGGTAAGGGTTGTCCTCTGTTCCACATAAGTCTTATTCCCGACATATGACGCTTTCTGAAAAATTAAAAATCTTTTTTCCACACACTTCAATATATATATACATAAAATACTTTAATTTTTTACGTGTATACTTTTTTAACAATATTTCAGCTTTTGCAACATGAGGTATAAAATTAACAGTTTCATAAAAATTACACATAATGTAAATACATAGAAAGCATACTATATAAAACAAATGTTTGTTAACAGATATGATACAATAAAGAGGCGGTAAAAATGAATACATAAAAGACAAATTGATGAAACAAAGTGAGAAATGAGTGCTAATAGACAACGAAGCTGTATACCTAGGTTCAAATTGAGTAAAATTGGAGCAACCTGCAATAGACGACCATTCCTGACGTACTGCACAATGAATTACAGACGACACACCTTCCGCTAATCCATTTAATCGTCTAGAATATATTACATCAATATGAATGACACGCAGACAAAAATACAGAAGCTGTAATCTTCATCTCATATGAAACATATATTTTTCGCTGTGTGCATTCCTCATTATAAATCTCAATGGAAAAGGGGATATTAAAAATATCATTTAAGCTAGAGATTGTAAACTTGTGTTTACATCATAAACTTTTTGTACACAAATTATTTATAACATCAAAATACTTACGGTGCAAGAGACGAAGATGGATAAATTATATCTCCCGTAATTATTGTATCAAACAACAATATGGGTATTCGATTAAAGTCAAGTATCTTTAAAGAAATAAAGTCATATTTTATAGAGTAAAGAGCTTTCGTCGCTAATAATACGAGTCTTTCCTTTTCCGTATCCCATAAACTTATCCTTGAAATAAATAAATTTTTCTGCCAATGCAAATTTACAGTAACAAAGAACGTAGCTCGATTTACATAGATAATACATACTCCGTCAGAAGCCAACTTCCGACAAGTTCATCATCGTTCTGCTTTATCAATTTCTCAGTACAGTCACTTATCGCTCTTTCCACGACTTCATTCCTGTCAGTGAAAAATGTATGAACATCTATATGCTTGAATGGTATGTTACACACATTTCTCGAGGCCGAATTTTGATTCGATACGTTTTCCGCACTCTCCGTCAACGGTCTAACAGCTGAAATCAGAGAAATATCTAGTAGACTCAATTACGAATTTATCTTATCGCCTATTTACCTATTCTATTGTAAAATCAAAAATTAAGAGTAAAAAAACTGACAGCGAAACTCACGGTCGGTATTAGCGATTTCTAGGGTGGCTCTTTCGAAATTTACCGCAGGTCCCTCCTCTAGACATGTTTCTTCCATGTCTCCGGGCTGTTCGTCAACGAAAGATTCTCGTTACATTTATCGGAGTCAAAAAATTACAACGGTATGAGCGTGCAATGCAGTGCAATGACGGAAGCGATCTGAGGTACGACTTTCCAAAGTTCCACATAAACGCATTCGATCGAATCCGAATTCCGAGGATGACATTTGATTTCAGTGACCTCGCGCGGCGAGAAGCTAAAGTTTTGATATCAAAGTAATTATTATATTTGTGCTATACGATATACTTCAAAACTTACTTTTTTATATTGAATCCAAAAATGAATTTCTCTGTCATTATTTTAATTTGTTTCGTAATAATTGCAGCATCTTGGAATATAAAATGTAAAAGTCCTTTCATATCCCGATTCATTGTCATACTTGTAACATTTATTAATTTACTTAACAAGTATCAACATGATATATATTACAAACATATATTATTTCGCATCTCGTACGCCAGCTTTACAAAAGTACTTAAATATAGCTGACTAAATCTATTTGTACAGAATTTACATACTTGACAATTTTGTTATACTCTGTGTTTGTACATACACAAGGGGTTCTGTACAAGTTGTTCTGTACAAAATAGCACATTTGAGATACTGTAAAATAAAACGTGCGAACAATTAAAACAGAAAAAAAATCTAAAAACTGTGTTACTAAAAATGTATATGTATATAAAAAAAAGATTGAACACGTTCTACGATACTTGTACTAAATGTGCACTATGTATGCTAAAAGTTTTGGTTCTAAGTATTGCGTTAAGTAGGTCATCCCGTCGTGAATAAATAATCCACAATATTAATTTTAATACATATATGTACATAGATACAACGTGTCCCAAAATCACCGCATCCTAGTTATAGACGCCAAAAATAGCAGAAAAGTCTATCTTTGAAATCGATGCGCCGATCTAATTACAAGCAATTAAAACTAGGAGCATAATAAAATACATAGCTTTATTACAGAAATAAAAAATTTCTCTTTTATTAAACATTTTCTGTCGAGATAGCTTCATCGAGAACGGTGATTCTAGAATATCCTGCACGCGCATTATAAACTGGCATATGTACACGTATATGTACATCATTAAAAAAAATTGATTCTATGATTATTTTACATTTTTACACTTTATCGATCCGTATCAAAAATTTCTATGCCATCTGTACCACAGCTGCAAGACGCAAAATTAGAATTTGATTGACACTCGAATGATTTTTATGCCTTGTGGCATAGTTACTTTTACGAAAATTCATATCAGTCTTCTTGTAAACTTAACGTTAAGCGTCGTAACTAAGGCATTATAGATTCTCGTGCATTGTATGCGATACAGTTAAAAATTTGACTAGAGAGTACATCCGGGAAAACACGTCAGAAGTAAGATCGAATTCTAATCGCACAGTCGATTACTTATAGTGTTGTACGTCGTCTAACATATTATCTGATGATGACAACGTCAAACTTCGTTCCTCATGCATCCCCTTGGCGTAATTGATTTGTTGTGATACCTACGATGAAGAAAATAAATGATAATATATTGAGATCTTTGTTCAGTTGTAATGAAAAAAAAGAAAAATATTTGTATCAGTTTAAAATTACACTCCATTTATAACTTACCCGTTTTGCCACCTCTTCGTTGTCACAGCGCACCTTTGGCCGTCTCAACAATTCGGCCAATCCATCTAGATTGACTGCGGCTGATGAATCGAATCTGGATATCAACTCTATGTAATGCAGAGTGACGTTGTTGCTTTGAATCTTCTGCATCGGCTGACAACAGAGAAGATCCGCCAAACTTACTTGGGTCACCACCGCTTTCGTGCCACCAGAAATAACGCGTACTCTCTCATTGGATACCAGCATTTTAAGATTCTCCGAACCGCTGCACAAACACTCGTAAGCAACGAAAAGCTCGGAATAGTCGCGATTATTAATGCTATACAGGAACTCCTGACCCTCGGCTTGCTGACGATTGTACGGCGGCAACAATCCGGTAGAACCACTGACGACACGTGGTGGTCGGTCGCGTTTTGGTATTGCACGATGAGCGCTATGAAAAAGAATTGATCAGACATGAAGAGATATTTACAATGCAGAGAAACACAAATATGAATACAACATAATAGAATCATATAATATATTACCTTCTACTTGTCTCTCGCACAGCACTAGCTGTCTCCGTTGCCAAATCTAAGACACCAACGACGGGTTTCGTTATTGTACCTACTACTCCTCTTCCAAAACCCGCGAAGAAACCCTAAAATTTTACTTAGCTTTATTTAAGTTCTACAAATAATATTTATTTAAAGAATCAGATTTATTTTAAAATATTTACTGGAAAACCCTCGCTGGTTGCTCCATCGTATGTTTGTTTGAATATACTGGTGACACCACCAAGTAGACCAAAACCGAAACCCTTCAAGCCGGCTACCAAGTGATCGCTACTGCCCGTAGTGTTAGCCCGGATCCTCTGTCTGGCCTCTTCGTGTCTTTCGTCCATAATCACTCTCCCTAAACCATCTGACAGAGATTCTGTCACTTTTGCTGCCGAATTTGAAATACCGTGCG